CCACAACCTCTTTGATTTGCCCTTAATCTCATCAGATTGAAAACCCAGAGTGTAAAAGAAATATAGTTGCCTTTGAAAAACTCTATTAATTATCAATATATGATATTAAAAAAACATTTTATAAACTACCTATTCATTGTGAATAAAAAAAAAACCCTTAGACACAACTGGGTAATCCTTAAATTCTGGACTGGTAGGGGTGCCTTAAGGACTGGTTTGGGAACCACTGCTATTGAGGATAAAATCTTCCTTTAGTCTTGTTAATGCAGACAGGAACACCTGATATGTCCATAAACTAACATCCGATCCAGATTGGGGCTCTATAGGCACCTAGACCACTTCAGCTAATTGAAGTGGTGTGGCAGCAGTGTCTCTGTCCTGAGTCCTGCAATGTAAAACCGTTTTAGAGACTAGATGTGATTCCGGGCATTTATCGGACTCTAGGTTGCCTATATGATGCTGGACGTCCTCACGCTCTGAGGACATCCAGTATGTGAAATCCTCATAGCAAAACACTGAGAGACTACTTATCTCGTTTGCTGCGTATGAGTATTAGGTCCCCCCCCCGTTGCATGACGTCTGAGGAGGCGAAACACCAACCCAGCTGAGAGTGAAATTAGCACAGGGATTGGGTAAGTGATTTAAGGTCTTTTAACCCTTTATATTCTGGACTGGGCCGTGAGGGAGGGGGGACCAGAGGCCACTATAGTGTTGGCAATACAGATTTTTATTCCTAACACTTTCCCTTTAAGAAACCTGAGCCGAATGAGTGCAGGGCATAATTTCTTATATTTAAGAAACCTGAGCCCAATACTTTTATGCCCTGCTTTTCACTTAACATCTTATGGGGTGTATATATCCACCAACCTATGGATTCTTCTTTTACCCATATCAAACATCATCTGTCCTAGCTCTGCAACCTACCTCTAGAACTTACCCCTTTCCTCTGGAAATCACTGCATCTCCTATATTTAAACATTTACAGCGACTCTGGTTATAACCTTGGCACACTAAGCTGGTCAGATACCTCCAAAAATGCTCCTGGAGAAAGTCTCATTCTCTATCTGACTTGCTCAACTATACAATTATGCCACACTCCTACAGTATGGCTCTTTCCTTTGCAAATGCAAACTATTTCAAAATCCTCATAACCACGTTCTCCCGAGAACCCGAACGCCCTTTTCACACTTGTAACTCTCTTCTTTGGCTTGTTGATGAACCTCCTAACTTGACTATTACAAACTTCACTGAGAAGCTTTCCGTCATCAGGAAAGAGATCTCTAATCTCACTCCTACCCCGCACCCTTGTCTGTTCTATGGTCACTCGCACCCTCTATGCCAGAGGTTTCCCTCACATCTCAGTCTCTCTGACTCCTTCTCTTGCTCATTAAAATAATCAATCTCTCCCTCATCTCTAGCATATTTCTTTCTCCCCTCAAGCACGCAGCCATCATCCCAATTGTGTTAAAAAACCTTGACCCTAACTTCCCATCTAACTACTGCCCTGTCTCGCTGCTACTACTGTTTGCCTCCAAGATCTTCAAGAAAGTTGTGTAAGCAAGATTGACTGACTTGAATCCAACTCTCTGCTCAACGCGGTTCAGTCTGGATTCTGGGCTTGTAACTCTCTAATAATTGGTCGCTACTCTCTAATAATTCTGCTTTCGACACTGTTGATAATCACAACTTCATCTCATCTCCCGTAACCTCGATCCTGGTTCTCCTCCTACCTCTCCCAGTGCTCTGCTGGTGTTTCTTTTTCTGGCTCTTCTCAGCAACCCCTCTCTGTCAGTGCTCGCCCAGGTTCTGTCCTTGGTCCCCTAATGTTCTTGCTCTATTCTGCCTCCCTTGATAAACATCAGCTCTTTTAGCTTCGAAGATCATTTCTATGCAGTTGACAGGCAAATCTATCAGTCTTCTCTTGATCTTTTGCCGCCCCTCTAGAGGATGCTCTAACTAGTAAATGGAAAAACAAGTAGTGTAATAGCGCTATGTTATAAGTAGGGAAGACAGCACACCTAAACGGGTTAGTCTTTCCCAAAAACCCAAAAGGAATAATAGAAATACAGAACAATAGGGTACGCCAAGGGGTTGGGAATCAGAATGCTTTAAGCAAAACACATGAAATAAAACAAATTATACACTGTCC